CACGGAGTTTTCCTCCGGGGGCTTCCCCGGTTTCTCCGTGGCATCCCAACAATTACTCCACTCACACACAGAAGAAGGCAATGGCAAACCACTTCTGATCATCTCTGCCAAGAATGTATATATGTATGAGCAGGTCCCTGACAACCTGAAGAGGTTGGAATGATCCTGTTCATAATATATGGACCTGTCGTCAGACAGAACACTACAAATAAAATAACATGTGAAACGTCCTTAAATTTCTACTAGACTATATCTCAGAAGTAATTTATCTTCATATTCGCCGCCTTGAGAACCTAAAATATACACGAAATGTTTATTTGTTGTACTCAGTTGTAGTTAAATATCACTGAGGCTTACAACATCGGTTTCAAAAGGAGTTTTGTGTGGATGAAACAAATGAATAGACCTTTAGAATCATATAAGGAACTCTGCCAGCATGTTCACAAAGAAAGCGTTCTTGGTTTAAGTTCCTGTAAGTAGGAAATAATGCTCGCTGGCAAATGCAACTTTTCTTCTGTCTGCGTGTGAGGTTAAGATTGAATGTGCCTCACCAAGGTTTCTCTGTCCTACAGTGAACTGTGAACAGGGGCTTTGTGGCATAAGACAAGGATTGTTCTCCAGTCTATAGTCTTTGCGTTCTATCCGGCCATTATGATCGTATAATGAACTATATATAAGTTGTCAAGTACTCGTGATTAATACGGAGCTGTTCAGTGAGATCTAGAATCTCATTTTTTTTATCGTACGGGAAATGTTCGAATTTAGCGGTGTCATATTTACGAGTTTATTATTGAGATAAGAATGATAGCATTCTTATATTAAATTCGAGCAAAATTTTAATGTTATTTGAATAAAAATCTAGGAAAATATATGTTGTTTTATGCATAAAATATGCCTTTATCAGTAACTTCTTTATATGTATTATCATCCATTTATTTATTTATTTATCTGCAAGGATCAATACATAGTAGAAATTAAATGTTATCCAAGCTTCTCATCGGGTTTGAAATTGTAATTTTCTTTTAGTTCAGAGTGCGTAATTAAACATGTTAGCAAAAAAATATCCCTGCTGTACTCTAAGGTTGGCAGTTTAGGAAACGCTGTAATATTCTATCACGTTTTGTTTAAATAACGTCGCAAATGGACAGTGATCTATACTTCATTCATTAATAACTACAAATGATATCCAGCGAACTGTCAGTTACATTCATATTCTGTCTCGAATATGACTGTTTTATAGATTGTTGCGCCATGAAGTCATCGTCGCCCTGATGATGGAGGCAGCACGAACCTCTGACACGTCAGCAAACCATTAAATTATAATTTATTGTCTCACTACGGAGATATTCTGCCACGGTGGTCTAGCGGTTAGAACGCTGGCCTTGTAATCCTGGGGTCTCGGGTTCGATTCCCGGCGGTGCCCGAATTTATAACTTGTGTTGGGCAAGGCCGTGGTCTAGGCAACACGGAGTTTTCCTCCGGGGGCTTCCCCGGTTTCTCCGTGGCATCCCAACAATTACTCCATTCACACACAGAAGAAGGCAATGGCAAACCACTTCTGGATCATCTGCCAAGAACGTATATGAACAGGTCCCAGTCCGAGAAAAGGATGGAAGGATCCTGTTCATATGGACCTGTCGTCAGACAGAACACTACAAATAAATAAAATACGGAGATACTGAATGTGGTGTTTTAAAAATTACAGACAGTGTGCTTCTTAGATTTTCAGACGTCGTGTTTCTGTTGATTGATCAAAAAATGAGAAATATTCAAGGGTACTACTGAAGCGTCAGTGAGTTTCTGGTGCAGGTAGACTCTGAATCAAAACACCTGTTCCCTTTCTCAGCCCAGATGTCCAAGTATTCCCTGTTTAATCTCAGTATGGTATTCATACTTCCCTTCTGGCTGGATCAGGGTGATGGAAGTAATGGAGATCTGGTTCTTGGAGACGGTGCAGATCCTTTGGTTGGAGATGCGTTGATGTAGGGGTCATATTCCAAAGGATTGTTGATGTCACAGAAGAATCCGTTGATCATGGCTACTTAGTATGAATCAGAACTAATTTCGTGTAACATGAAGCGTTGTAAAACGAGCACCGAGCATGTAAATTCTTTTTAAAGTGTCGAAATTACAAACGTACAGCTACGACATTCTGTTTGTTAGCCTGTAAGGAGTTTTTTTTTTCAATACTGCAGGATCTCACAGCTTCCTCGCTCCTTGTGTGCGTGTA